ATATATAAAATTAAGATCATGACCTCTAATCACCTGGGTTTGAAGCCCAGTTCTGCAATTTACTAGCTCTGAACGTCTGTTATTTACTCACCATGCCTCAATTTCCCATCTAGTTCTAAAACTGCAACTCTTGGGCTGGGAATGTGGCTCTCAGCACGAGAGCACCTGCCCAGCATGTGTGAAGCCCTGAGCTCATTCTCTAGCACCAAAAGGAAAAAAAAAAAAAGAAAACTTGGACAGAATGTTTCACACTTAGAACAATGCCTGATATACAACACTGCTACATAAATATTTGTTGATTATTTTTATTAATCCACTTACTGGTGAATCCCATTCCTGAAACTCCACACAAGTCAAGAGATTCCAATTATAAGGCCTTAAGTATTCCAGGGTTCTCCTTTCATGATGGTTAAATAGTATGTCAGATAAACAATTCAAAGCTTTTAGGGTATTTTGACGAACAAAAGTATGAAAAAAATCAGCCTAACAAAGACTAGCCCTGACAAGGCCAATGTCAGGGCAGAAAAGCTAAACCAAGAAACATGATACATCAGTCACAAAATAAGACTTTTTTTTTATTTCAATGAAATAGGTTTCTCCTTTGGAAGGACAAAATATTGGTATCAGAAACACTTTGCTTTAAGCTACCAAAACAACTCTGACAGTTAAAAATGTATTGGGTCTTAAATTGTCAAAGGCTATACAAACAGAATTTTCTGAATTATGACAAGTTGCAAGTAAAAAACACCTTGCCTTTTGAAGAATTTATCAAGTTTGACAAATTTCAGCATAGCTTCCTGTACTCCAATCAAATTCAGAGCTTAGGTCCATTTCCTCGTATTCCCGCCCTCTTCCCAAGACTGCAAAGACCGCAGGGCTCCCTCAGGTTAATTAAGCTCAGCACCCTAATAAATTCCAGTCACAAGCCTCGGCGTCTGCGCCGCATCAAGAGCAGTAGGTTACCTCACTTATTAAACGAGATGCCATCTGTGACAGATTTATTCGAGTGTAATATGCCCTTTTATTTTGGATATCGGTTTCTTTTTTCCTCTCAGCTTTGCAGTGTCCAAAAACCTGGGGAAAGATAGGCTGATACAAAGCCGACCCAAATTTTTTTCATTGGAACTCATTTCCCACCACATCAATGATTTCTTCAATCACAGCAGTGCAAGAAAATATCCTAGATACGCAAACACGAATCAGGTCATGAAGCCACTTAACATTTGTGACTAAAGTTTGCTTCTTAAAAAAAAAAAGGCAAAATGAGACAAACTTAGAAGCCCTTTAACACCGAAACGACAAAATCACTGTTCAACACATAACAGCAGGGGACAGAAAGGCACGAATCTCACAAAAGGACATTTTCTCCACATCTCCTACAATAATCACTCCTTCCCATAAAGAAATCTGCACTAAGTACTACAGACTCCTAGCAAGTGAAGCAGAAGCGGTCTTCTCACGACAGAAAGTCACTCCTAATACCCCGAGCTTCCTTTACAAAACTGCAAAGGACTGAGTATAAGGAAAGGACTTCAGAATTTTCGTTCATATATTTTATGAGAGCAAGACCAATTCTTTTTCCTAGTCCCACTCGCTTTAGGAATGTGAACAACTCTCATAAATAAACACGTGAACTCTTTGGAAAACCAAATTTTCTTTTGGATTTAAAGACTGCACTTAAGTTTCTAAGAATTTACCACGCACGTGAAACACAGGCCATATTCAAAGTTAGGTATAACGAGATGGTCTATTATTTCTACTAACCAAAGGGAAAAGTCTATGCAGTGCGTACCTAACTAAGCACTATACTTCCATTCTCTCCCATCTTCGCACAGGCCCTGCGAATAAAGTTAACAGATTTTATGGTAAGGCTTCTTATCCGCCCAAGACACCACTTTTCTTCCTACAAGAGTGAGTAGAGAAAACAGCACGCGCAACGGAAACGCCGCCGCCCTCCGCAGCCACTGACAGCCTCTGCAGATCCAGACCCAACCGACCCGGTCACAGCAGAGAACGCTTCGCACGGGCTCCCGGCCGGACCGAGGCACGGCAAAGGCCGCCCGCGGACCGAAACCACGGGCCCGGAGCCCTCGTTCACGCGGGCG